ACGATGCTCATGTAGCTCTATATTCATTTGCACATGTTTGTACAAGTAGGCCGACCATGAAATGCCTGTTGAATAAAACTCCAATCTCCCTGTAAGTATGAAACACTGCTTTAAAATGTGGTGGTGAGAGAAGAGCTATTCTATAGATTGAGTTACCTTTACTGAGTTTGTGGATTCAACAGTAAAAAACCCTGACAAAGAATTGTACAGGAGTTCCAAACAACTACAGACATGGATCTTTTGCACATTCCATTTTTCCTGCATGCATGCAGGTAATTTATGTTTTTCCTTAAACAACACATAGACCATACATTATAACAGTGACTGTTGTTGCACTGTTAATACTGCAACCAGTTAGAGAAGTACCTAAAAATACTGTTTAAAACTTTTTCTTTAGAATGCAAATACCACCATTAAATACAATGAGGCAACACTTGAGATCAGTATAGACCTTTAAATATCACACACAAGCTATTCAAGTTTCTTAACACAACAAAATTGGCAATAAAATAATGTCAAACTATGTGTTGTTGGTAAAAATAGCTCATTTTCCAAATGTAGTTCTCTGTAAATGTAGAAAAACTGCAACTGTCTTGTATATACCATAAGGTATTTATCTAAAATGGTGCTGTCAGTGAAACAGATGTCACAGCACAATATCCCTGTGCCACCCACATTCTGTTCTCCCAGTTGCCAAACAGAACTGTTTTGAGTTATTTACTGAGTGATCAGATTCAAATAATTCTGCAGTGAACTCCATGCTACATTGAAGAAAAAAAGTACTTGAAAACTGAAATGTAATTTCACATGACATGTTACCATGATCTAATATAATCAACATGCCTTCACCAGTACAGACTCTGAAAAAAAGACTAAAAGCTTAGAAGAAGGTCAAAAACGTCTTATTTTTAAGAATTTTGTACATCAGCTTTTTCCACTGTTGTCTTCCTGTCCATTATACTAAATTTCAAGCTTCTGTTTTTAAACATCTTCACTTAATTGAGGAAGATGTAGAAATAACATCAGTTTCCTCCCCAGCCCTAAAAAATCATCTGCTCATTGCAGGATAACTGCATAAAATCTAAAAATCATGCCGCAGAGTAAATTAGGCTTGAAGGGACTTTTGGAGGTATCTGGTGGTAGGATCACATTACCTACTATAGGGACCATTTGGGGCAGCCCACAGGGTTCAGTGTCACTTGTCAGGGACCCATCTTGGTCTGCATATGCCACATGCCACACTATACTGTGGGACTTTGCCATCTGGTTTTTATTCTGTCCTTTCATGCTGCCTCTCTTTTTCACCTTTCCTCCTTTTTTTCATCCTTGCCTCAGAGATCTATGGAGTTTATCGGTATCAGGCTTCCTTAAGGGTGAGACAGGGCATGAGGCTATCCACAGTTCAAACAATGCACCCCATGAATATTAAATGCAGAAACTTTGTAGTCTGTTCTCATCTCTGTCACCAACTTGTTGCCAAAATTCAAGTCATCAGATTTTCTCAACCTGTACCCTTTGAGAAACCAGACAGCATTTGTTTGAAAGCTTCTGAAGACAAATACAAAGCACAATTAAATTCACATTGAGTACTCTGTCTGCATTCACATTTTTAAAATTAACTGACGTGCCAAAGAAAGTGAGATCAGAAAAAAAAAAATAGATAAGTTTGAATATTCACAGTTTTCTAGTACCAAAAAAAAAAGTGCTTTAGTTTTATAAACAGGGAAGAGAGAAAGGAATCTACAAGACATCTAGAGATACATATGCATTCTAGCAACTCAATTAATACATCTAGAGCAAATGACAGCCAAACAGATAAATAATTTTGTATCTAAGACCTTTTTCTCATGGGAAATACTGTCCTTAAGAATGTAAAACTTTCTTCAACATTTCAAGATGACTAATAATAAAAGTACTGAAATTAACATTAAAATACATTTTAGTATCTCAAGAGGTTTTTCATCTGATGAGATTTTTTACTCATTGATACTTGTTTGTTAATAAGCCACCTAACCTTTCCACTATCCAGCTTTATGATTCTTTATTTAGACCTCTCAACTTTGTTGAGCTGCTTTCAGATTACAACAACAAAGTCTTACAGATAAATACAGCAGGCACGTTTTTTTAGCAGAACACTTGCCAGTTTGGCAACAACAGAATAAACAACAGACAGGCAGAAGAATCATTGGTTGGAGGAAAGAAGAGAATTTTGTATATACTCCTGTAATAAGGTTCTTTCAACAAAATAGAGAACAAAAGAGAGCGAAAGAGAATGAGAGAAGCAAAGAAAGTTATTAGAACTTTCAACTCCAACTCATCAATTTCAGAGACCTGCCTCCAGCAATTCACTGACGTAGTGCAGAAAAAAAAAAAAAGTGAAGAAATTTTCATTAGAAATAACTGGGATCACAAATTCTGAATTTGATATGCTAATTTGATTGTATACAATCTTATTTTGCACTGATATAGCACAGTTGTGATGACTGGAAGCAATCTAGGCTAACAGCTAATACTGTAAAAATGAAACAGTATTTGCCACTAAAAGCCAAGCGTATCACTTCCACAATACTTACAACCCTTACTGGGTAGAAAATAAGCACGCATGTGCATTGCAATCACTACTAGGCACTAGTAGTCGGACTAGGCACTAGATCCCAGACTACAATAACATTGTATACTTTTAGGCAAAAACTTTCAAGCTAAATTCTTGAGCATTTCTATCAGGCCTGGGATTAAATGTCACAGTTTGGTTACTTTTTATACAAAAATCAACACATAAGTTATCTAATAACAATAAATAAATGAATACATAAATTCAGTCAGATTCTTTCCAAAGAACTTCATCTGTGACATCCTTGCTATCACAAAATAAGTTCATTCACCCTGCTAAATGATGTTGAATGTAGCAGCAAAGTTGTTAGATTTTACGAGTTATGAGCTACAATTTCAAAGTGTTAGATGAATATTCAAAACATATGTCTTTACATTATGTTTTATAAAGGAAACACATGGTTTGATACTTTCAGAACCTACTTCCCCAGTAAGCAGAAAGTGCATATTAGCTAAGTTGCAGCAAAATTAGAGCACCTCTTTCATCACCCTCTACCCATCAGCTTTACAAATACATTATTTTATTATTTTAATTAAGTTAATTCAGGAAAAATATCTTAATGAAACATATGATGCAAAGCTTGTGGGTTCTTTGCTCTTCTTGTCACTGTTTTTCCAGCCATTTTTTTTTTCATCTCCATCTGAACTCTGTGAACCTATAATATGACTAAGCTCTAAGAAAATATATCAAACACTAAGTGAGTGCTCCTAAAGGTATCTTTTTAAAAATCAAGTACATCTAAAGTACTTTAAACATTATTCTGTTCAATATGACCTACAAATAATGTATTCTTCAAACCAGTAGAGAGTAACAGAATGCCTACCACCCTATAGTCTGGACAACCCAAACAGTTGCTTTTCACATGGAGTATTGTCTAAGACAATTATATTAAGTTATAGATTCAGACCTCCTTCCTATCCAGTTTATGGGTAGATGAAGGTACATTAAACAGTTACTTTATACACCATAGTCTATCATTACACACATTTAGCACAAATTGTCAAGGTAGCACTGTGAAATTATTTAGAATTATTTAAAACCCAACATTATTTAGAAACCAACTAATGTAGCTAAAGAAGCCTTTGATTAATTACAGCAAATACTTTGTTGGTGTTGATGTTCTTTCAATTTTCTTAAAAAAAAATAAATCAACAATTATGCGTCTTGAGAAAAATGAAGCTAAGTATGCTGATTTTGGAAAATGAACAGAACAGAAAGGAAAATATAAAATTACAAGTAAATGTATCGGTGCTAAACTTGGTTAGACAACTTAAAAACCTGAGAATTTTCTCGGTTGACTTTTGGTGGACTTTTTGTGGCTTGTCCTAAAACTGAAAGCACCTGCCTATACTGCTAAAATATCACTGTCTTCAAAGTTAGGAATATAGGGAGAATAACCAGTTTTCTATGAGTCACAGGCCGGTACCCCCCTCCATCTCTCTATCCTTCTGTTTATATGCCTGCACAGATCTATTGGTGGATTGAGTCTTCCAAACTACTCAGACAGGGCTGTTAAAGAAATGAAATAGTGAACAGTTCCCTGATAACTCTGAATAACTAGTGGGCAATAAAACCTTACCTGATGAATAACCCAACTCCCATATAAACCCAAACATTTCAATTTCAGTATTAAATTTCCAGTTAACATACTGCTATATACATCAGCATTTACAGGTTCACCTTTGTAAGTCCCCTGCTTTAAGAAAAGAGATGTTTAAAAGATAGTAATAATTGCTGAAGGCCCAGTGAGCCCTCTGTGCATAAATTCCCTTCCCTACTTATATTAGGCCAAAAATCAGTTTGCTAATCCCCCTGCCTAAACAGAGGACCTCCGCCTTTTGCTCTTGTGTTCACTGCTTTTCCAGACAGTTTTTCATGTAATTGCCATTAACTACAATTGGAAGTTAATACTATATACCAGTGTCAGTAGATAAAATATATGTATAAAATGCCTTAGTATACTGAGTGATTCACTTTTTTGAGGAAGAAAGTGCATTACAAATCTTTAAAAGGACAAATTTTGTCATAAAATCCTCCCCAAATATTGTTACTGCTTAATCCAAAAGCATAGGGAAAAATAGTAGCTACATCTCAAACCTCATCATTTGACAAAATGCTGAGTAAAGGTTTATGTCTTGTTCCTGGCATTTTTTCTTGATTTCTGTGTGATTAGGATCGTTCTGGAGTTAAAAGGTATTGATTTACTAGAAGGCTGCCTCATGTTTTACATTTTCAATCCTATCGAACGGATTACACAGAAAGACCTTTTTAGAAAAACATGGAACTGTTGAATATTGCTTACTCTGCTATATTGGGATCTGTATGATACAGAAGGACTCAGCACTTTTAAGGACATTATTGCATACATACTAATTAAAAACTGACCAACCTTTCCTTCAGCATCTGCTGCTGTTACCTTCTCAACCTTGTTCCTGTTTAAAAACTTCTTCACCCATTCTTCCACTTGAACGTTGAACTTCATGAAAGTCACATAGCAAAAATATGCTGTCAGGAGTGTTAAGCTTTCCCACCACATGATCAAGTTATCCAGAAAAAAGATGATTAGCAAGATCAAGTCAATGATGTAAAAGGACACATCTCGAAAGAGTGGCCACCAAGTAAGGTTCAAGATCTCTCTAGAAAATAAAGCACACATTCCAATAACAAACAGAATATTGAACACAGCAGATCCCACTATTGTGCCAATGCCAACATTGCTGTGGGATATAAACACTCCTATTAGAGAAGTGAACAGTTCTGGAGCTGACCCACCAGCAGCCATGAAGGTTGCCCCTGCCACATCATCAGATATAGTCAGTTTTTCTGTGATGACAGTCAAGGAAGGAACAAAGAACTCATCGCAGACTATGGCTAAGGCTATAAACATGTAAATCATTCCAATTACATGGAGAATCACTGCTCCCTTCCTTCTCTCCTCAAGAGAGAAAAGGTCGTTGGGGTATTCTCCCTTGGCATGATCATCTGTTGCATTGTCATGTTCAGCTTCATATTTCATAGCAGTGGATGGGTCTGGACTGCCATTTTCATTCTGTCCTGTGAAATCCAACAGAGTTCTTTGGTGCCCATGCACTAGCTTTTGGCTCTCTAGGCTGCTGGCCAATGCCATGCTCTGTGGTTCCATCTTGAAAAAGGCACTAATTGAAAGAGAGAAAGTGCTCATGGCCACTACGCTAACAAGAAGACCTATAATTCGTATCAGTCTCAGTTTTTTCCTAACATTCTGGTGCCGTCTGCAACTGAACAGTGGTTCCTCCAAACACCACTCCTCCAAGACACCAGCAACAGTTTTCTTTTGAAGAGCCATTCTGTGTTGTGTGCAAGATACTGAGTCAGACGGATTGTTCCCTCATGCTTTTCTCCAGCTTTGAAGTTAGAACCACTTTAAGAGTTTTTTCAGAATCAAGTACTTCTGCTCTTCATAGGAAGCAATTTCTTCATTCGTCTTAAAAGGACAAACAGATATTATTAATATTAGTGAAATAGTATGTGAGTAGAAGTGTCTGAAAAACATTTTACAGCCTGGGTTAAATTTAGACTTTAAAGCAGAATATTACCAACTGTAACAAAAACCCCTGCCACATCCCATCAGACACAGCAACAAGATGTTTGTTTCAGCAGTAACCCTGCAAATAACAGTCTATCAATAGTCAGATCATTTTATGCCTCTCATATGCCTCTGAGCCACTGTTCTCCTCAAAAAATCCTAGTGGAAGGTAAAAGTAGTCCCCAGATGTTGCATAAAAACAAAGAAACTACTATTTTCATGGATACCCAAAGACTATTACCTTCTGTAATTACTTTTAATCATGATCATGTAAGGTCCAAATCTCAAATGCAGGGGCAATAATGTATGAAAAAGCAATCAAAGTTCTAACATGTATCTCATCAGACCTTTAGGCAGCTGAGGAGGGATTAATTGAAATATTATGCATGCACAGAACAAGACTATTGATATATAGGAAAAACACTATGCCAACTGTGCCGTTGGAACAGGATTGAAATGAAGATCTAATACATCCATAGTTTATTTAATTCCTCTGCAAAATCAACCGAAGTTTTACACACAGAGAACTGAGTTTGCTTCTGGTCAGACCTAGGATACTAGCTTGAACTAGCTAAGACCTCTGGTTTTGGTTTATGTCACACATTCGGTTACAAACGTAGGCAGCTATTAAGAATACCTATGTGGTAAATATCTTTTAAAAGCATTTCTCTTACAGATTCTTAAGAAAATAGTTTAAATTTACACAAGAGTTGATCCTGAAACAAATGAAATGGTGCAAAATTAATCTATGTGAGGAGAACTTTTCACGTATGCCAGAGCAGAACATATTAGACCAACAGAACTTTTAAACCCAGAAAAAAAAAAACCACTATATAGTAAGACATGCTTTGGTTACTGATTTTGAAGAATATATGTAATGTAGAAATGCACTGTAAGTTACATTTTCTGTGACAGGAAATATAAAATATTTTCGAAATAAAACCAGGAGTCTTTGCTATTGGAGACAAAAAATACTTTGTTACACCACTTCGAGTAATTTGTTGCGCTGGCTGAACACTGAACAATCTATTTATCAGTAGAATACTGATTTTGTATTATCAAATACAGTTACAAATATGCCCTGCAGTTATTTACGTAAAAGTTATTAAGTTATGTGCAGTTCCTCCTGATTTTTACAAACAGCTTCCGTACTAAGAAGGTGTCACAGATTTATACTCCATCTGCAAGACACAGCACCACAGCAGATATCTTCTTTCCCGTCTCGGAGTTACTGCCCACCGGACTGTCTTAAAATTAAGCAGGAAAGGCACCGGAACAGCGCTACCGCTGCTCTGCGCGACTTAACGGCGGATGCGCCCATCACCCCCTCGCCGTTATGAATCACCTGAATGGGAACGGTGAAAAGCGCCCGGGATGTCCTCTGCCCGAAAACTCTCAGCGCAGCGCCCAGCCAGACCGTTCCCGGCACCCATCCCTTGTCTCCCCTCCCTGCCCGTTCGCCCGCCGCGCATCGATCCCCGGGCGGCGCGCAGCGCCCTGCATCCCTCACCCTGCAGCCCCATCCCGCCCGTCCCCCCGCGGAGATGCCGCAGAGCCTCAGCTAACTCAGCCCAAGTTTGCACCGCGCCGCGCCCCGCTGCACAAACTTTTTTTCCCTCTGCGACAGGGCAGTGAGTCCAACCCCGCGGAGTCGCGCAGCTCCAACCGCGGAAAGCCGCGGAAGGACTGGCCGGGCGGCTCGGAGCACAGGGCACCCCTCCGCCGCCGGGTACCACCCATGGGGGCGGGCAGAGGGGGAGGGGAGACCCCGCACAGTCGCAGCCCAGACCCCGCCCGTGCAGACCGGCGGCGCTCACCCGGAGGCGCGCTGCGCTGCGCTGCCCTGCGCGGCGGCCCGCGAGCGCTCGACAGGGACACCGGCAGCCACGGCCCGTCTGCGGCGGGCGGTGGCTTCGAGGTCCGCCCCGTCCCGCCCCGCGCAGGAGGGGCAGGCGGCGGCCCGCCCCTGCCCGGCCCCGGGGTGCCAGTACGCGCGGCAGCACCCCAGCCCCTCCTTCACCCGGAGCTCTATCCATCCGCGCCAGCACGGACTGCTTGGTCAGTGGTGCAAAGGGGGTGACAAGGGTTTATTGTGGTTTGGTTTTTTTTTGTTGTTGGTTTGTTTTCGTTTCCCCTTTAGCTGGGATTAGCTGATTAACCAGGGTGAAATTCAGCAAAGACAATCAGTGTCAAGGAGTAGGGTAATTTTAAAAAGGAGAGTTCTTCTGATCAAAATATCCTTGACTCCGAGTGTTTTCTGAAGTAAAATCGGTAAATGAAAGAAAAGGACATCGCATTTTGGGTTTGATTGTAAGGTGACATGTCTGCTATAAAGTCATCATTAATTTACTCATTAAATCAAAATTATTATTCATTTACTGATGAAGAGAAATGCCTTCAAACTGCATCTTGAAGCTGTCACAGAGAACAATAAAGATGCATTGAACACCCTAGAGAATAGGGGAAGTTCTTAGCCATAACTGCCCCTTTTTCTTTTGGTCTCCGTCTATTCATCCAACAAATTGTGCTTCATTAAGTAACTGCTTCAAGATTCAAATACAATCATAGCATCATAGAATTGTTAGGATTGGAAAGGGCCTCAAGATCATCAAGTTCCAACCCTCCTGCCATGGGCAGGGACACCTCACACTAAACCATATCACGCAAGGCCTTGTCCATCCTGGTCTTGAACACTGCCAGGGATGGAGCATTTACCACTTCTTTGGGCAACCCATTCCAGTGCCTCACCACCCTGACAGTAGAGAACTTCTTCCTTATATCCAACCTGAACTTCCCCTGTAAGTTTAAAGCTATTACCTCTTATCCTATTGCTACAGTCCCTGATGAAGAGTTCCTCTACAGCATCCTTGTAGGCCCCCTTCAGATACTGGAAGGCTGCTATGAGGTCTCCACGCAGCCTTCTCTTCTCCAGGCTGAACAGCCCCAACTTTCTCAGCCTATCTTCATACAGGAGGTGCTCAAGCCCCCGATCATCCCTGTGCCCTCCTCTGGCCTTGCTCCAACAGCTCCATGTCTTTCTGTCATGGTTTAAGCCCAGCCGGTAACTCAGAACCACACAGCCACTTATCACTCCCTTCTTCCTCCCCCCACTCCGGGCAGGATGGGGAGGAGAATTGAAAGAATGTAAACCCCACAGGTTGGGATAAGAACAGTCCAATAACTACAGTATAATACAAAATGACTACTGCTACCACAAGTAATAATAATGATAAGGGAAATGGCAAGGGGAGAGAATATAAAACTAAACCGGAAAAGGAAAAAAAAATAAAATCAAACAATAAACTCAAGTGATGGACAGCACAATTGCTCACCACCTGCCGACCAATACCCAGCCCGATCCAAGCAGCGATCTGGGCTTCCATATGTCTCCCTGCAGTTTATATACTGGGCATGACATGCTATGGTGTGGAATACTCCTTTGGTTAGTTTGGGTCAGGTGCCCTGTCTCTGCTTCCTCCTGGCTTCTTGTGCCCCTCCTCACTGGCAGAGAATAGGAAACTGAAAAGTCCTTGATCAGGGTAAGTGCTACTTATCAACAACTAAAACTTCAGTGTGTTACCAGCATTGTTCTTGGACTAAAGCTGAAACACAGCACTGCACCAGCTACTAAGAAGGAGAAAAATAACTGTTAGGGCTGTGCTCAGGGCACCTTCTTATGCACGGGACACCAACATAAGTACTGCACACCATACTCCAAGTGTGATCTCACAAGAGCAGAGTAGAGGGGCAGGATCACCTTTGATCTGCTGGTCATGCTTCTGATGCAGCCCAGCATATGGATGGCTTCTGGGCTAATACTGGAAACTATTACTTTGCAGCTCTATCATAGCTAATCCCTGGTGCTACATGCTATAGATCCACTGGAGTACACAGGTGCTGCTCTTCTGAAATAAAACTTAGAATCCTACTCTATGCCATTGTTAGAAAAAGCCACATGGCAATCCATTGGTAATGGTAATCTCATGTAGGCGAGCCAACACCCCAGGAAGACCCTTGCTGTATCCAGGCACTTGGGAAAGACCTCCATGCAGAAATCCTTGAAAAATGCAGAGCCCAGGTGACAGCAGGGAGATGGGGAGGGGAGGACAGCACAGGGCAACAGGTAAGATCTGTCAGGGGGTTGGTAAGCAGCTCACTAGCACTACACTGCTTTCAGTTTTTCATATTCTGAAAATTTTACTGTGAACAGTGAACTCTCAGCCTCTTTGGGCCAAAGAATAACTTTGATTTTTACAACTTCTACCTTCTTCATTTTGAACACTGACTCGTGGCTTCCCCATCCCTGGCAGTGTTCAGGTTGTACGGGGCTTTGAGCAACCTGGTCTAGTGAAGGGTGTCTCTCCCATGGCAGGGAGGTTGGAGCTATATGACCTTTAAGGTTCCTTCCAAACCAAAGCAGTCTAGGACACTGTGATTTATCATGTGGCAAGCAGCACCAAGGCAACCCAAACGGCTCAGGTGCTGACTGGAAACCTGAAAGTTCTTTTGAAGAGTTATGAGATGGCAAAAGTCGATACACCAAAACACAATAGGCATCTTAGAGACTATGTGGACATGCAAGAGATAAAGTTTCAGAAGATATTTCCAAAATTTCTGGAATTTCCCATGAGAGCCATGGCTGACTCACACATACAAAATGCCTTTGAAAGCCAGAATTTGCACAGGTGGTTTACATTTATTTCACATTACACACTGGGAGGTTTTCATTAGTGCATGGCAGCTGATAGAGGGTGCCTGCTGATTATCTAGACTTGCATTGTTCAGGCTTGGGATGATGCAATGAGACATGTGGATATTGTCTTACCCGTCCTTCTAGAGTCACCATGTAAGAATTAGTTAAAATGCAAATCTACTGCCTGTATGCACACACACAAGACACAGATGAAGTGGTGACATCTCAAATATCAAAACTGTACTCGCTATACATTGCTGTACATTGATGACAAAGATTAAAGGTAAACATGCTTTCATGACTTCTTGTAGCTACTGTATTGTTGGCTTGCAGTCTGTGAGAAGTGGCCACTTGAAATATACCTAAAAGATGTTTCCACAGGTGGGCATAGACAGGCTGTGTATGTGTGTAGTACCCCAATTTCTATCAGTTTCTGAAATAAAAGTGGAAGCAGGTCAGTTTTGCAAATGACCATGGGGAGAATATGTAGAAAATCCCCTATAATTATGTTATTATATCCCCTATAATTACATTATCTACTAACCAAAAGTCCACATATCTGAATTGTAATATCCAACTGTTTCTCTGTATTCGTAATGCTTTTTCTCCCAACAGTAGACATGATTGCAATCCAAGGACAATAAAATCTTAAAAGGAATGATGTGGCTCACAGATGGGTATCTCTACCAATAACTTAAGCATTTTAAGTCAGCTGACCTGTTGTTACATAGATGCTGCATAAAAATGATGACAGGACAAAACCACCCACAGTTAAATTAATATAAGGAGGATAACAATAAAATAAATTCAATATTTTCCTCACAAAATTAAATGTCAGAACATGTCTTGGTTAAATACAAAATAATGAGATTATTTGAATGAAACAGTCTTTGGCTTACAGCTGGTTCAATGTTTCTCCTCTTAAGTGAAGACAGAAAAGAATGTGTGAAGTACTTGGGTTCTGCACCTACGCATTTGTATATATGACTACGCTTTCATTTTTACATATTCCGGATATGTAGTTTTTTAATAACTTATATCTAGTTTACTGCACCATGTGTGATAAACCCTCTGAAATCATAAGCCACTGCTCACCACTTCCTATTTC